ACCATTCTGAGGCAATGAATTCCAAATTTTAATTTTGTATTGCATCAAGATGTGCTTCTTTTTGTTTCTTTGAAATCCACTGCCTGATAATTCCACCACATGATATTTATTCTTGAAATAACAAATTAGCATTTCTGTGTGCAGAAACTGCCCTGAATCTACAGCTGTTCTGGTTGCCCTTCACAGGATTTATTCCAATTTTACTGCATCCTTGGGAAAAAGAATTGGAGGGCTGAAGACTTGACTTATGACCACAGAAAAGTGAGATTCACCAGTGGTTTTATGAGGTGGTGTGTTTTGATTAAAGAAAAGTGTATATTGTTTCATAGATCTGCAGTGAATCAGTTCCTGTTAGATATAAGTTTTTTGCTGGAGTGCTTTGTACAACCTGGTGGAAAGAACAATTCATTGGAGTCTGCTCTGATCTGCTGCTCAAGGTGGAGATAAAAGAATGAAGGAGAGAGAGGTCTGAATCAAACTTCTGAAGCCTGAGCCCTAACATAGTCTTCTGTTAGTGGAAGGAAAGCAGTTTTACCAGAAATTAAGAACTTTTGACTGGGTAGATAGAGTGCACGTACAAAAATCTCTATTTAACATGTCCTCATTTTCACAGAGGTGTAAACAGTTTAGTGTCGGCACTAAACTACGACATTACAAATTTAGCCCTTCACAACTGATCAAGTGCATTGTAGAAGTGGTCAGCGTAGTTTTCATTGCATATCTTCATGTATTTAACAGTCTTTATATAAAAACGTGGCTTGTTTTCTGCCTGTTCAGAAAGGTCAGAGACTGGAAAAGCTCAAAGTCTGCTCTCTCTAGAGAAGTAGGGCTTTGGAAAGCTGCTCTGTCTGAACAAAGCTAGCAGCTTTAGTGCGAATTGGAGGTGAAAAATGAAAGAACACCATAATTTTACAGTGTTTTTGGTGCCTTCTGTTCCGGATGCAGATAAAACAGAACATGGCTGATGTTGTGACAAGATGTTAGCAATTGTTTTCTACATTTATTGCCTCAGAAGTAACAGATACCAATGCAGCTTAGGAAATACTGGTTGTATAATGAACCTGACCAAAATGGTTCTTCTGTCATTGTTAATGTTTCCACTTGTCCTTGTGGGTACAAGCTGTGTGTTACCTTGTGTGCTTGATTGCTAGAGTCTGCGCTCATGAAGAGTCCCAAGACAAACGTCATGTGGGTTTATGTGTGACTTCGTGGGCTGCAGACGTAAATAACAGGTAGACTTTAGACTCTGTGGCCTAAAACCTGATGCTTTCATATAATGGCCCAGATAAATCTTCATTCTTTGACCTTAAAAGGCCAGATCCTTCCTCTGACAAGAACTTCCCCTGCCTCCCACTTCACACCCAACCTCCTTCCAAACCTTCACCACCTCCAAGTAAATTTAACTGTGTCCTCCCTCTTGCCTCTTCTCCTGGACTCAACCCTCAACCCTCACTTCTCACTGTTTCAGCTTCAATGTTGCATTAAGCTGGGGTCTGAAGGATATTCCCACCTTGGCACAATGGGTTAGAGTGTGAGGGATTGAACAAATGTGGGAAAGGTTAAACAAATGTGCCCAAATGAGCTTGCTGGAAGGAAGAGTTCTGGTTCGTCATTACTTTTTTTGTTCTGTCTCATAAATGTCTATTTTGGGTCATTTTTATTTTCCATGCTTCTCAGCTATGTTGAGCAGTGAGTGTTGATTACAGTAATCTTCAAACTTCTTATAGGATCTCCTTATGACAGGCACCAGGAGCAAGAGAAGGACAAGGATAATAGAAACTACTTTGCTCAGTGCAAGTGATGAGTTTACACAGTGAAAAAGCCACCTGTTGATCTTTGACTCATTCAACAAAGAAGTCACGTCAAATACTAACCTGAAAAATTCCTGGTAAGTGATTAAGCCCTGAAACAATAGCATATTTCTGCCTCTTGATGCTGTCAGAAACCACAGGTACACTCACTGAAATTCTCCCTTTGATGCTTTGAGATCAGAAGTAATTTTGATCAAAAGCCAGAGGAATTACCCCAGACATAGTCATGCTAAAGGACATTCTTTGTTTTGGTCTTTAGTTACTCTCAGAACCTTTGCATACTGTTTGAGATCTCAAAGACTTATAGCTAAATTAACATAGATGCATTCTAAGTGTATTTAATTATGAAGTTGCACTGATTTAGTCAGAGAATACTTTCATAAGACTCATCCCAGTTTAAACCAGAACAAAACTCTGGTCATGCTGAGCAAACTTGGATAGCGAACAGATGTGGATTTGTCTATTCTACAGGTCTGCATTGTGCAGAGATCACAGTTGATGACAACCCATACCGAAGGTCTGTAAATCTGTAAAAATAAATAGCTGATATTTTATCTGCAAGTAGCAGAATATTTAATCCAATACCTTCTACAGAAGATCAGCATTTTTAGGCTCAGAGTTCACATTTCTGCTGTATTATATGTATGTAACTCTTTGTGTATAAGATGCAACACCTTTACATACATTTTTTGATTTTCAAAATCCTCTAATGATCTTTTATGCCTCATTTGTTGGGTGCTGTCTTGAGATACCTTAAAAAGGGATCAGATTTTCAGCTATGCAAGAAAACAAAGTTCTTTCCTTTCAAAATTTTGTGCTCTTTGTGATTTCTGAGTTGGATTCTTAAGCAATCACTGATCACTCTTGGAAAACTAGACCATTCAAATGGGGTCTTTTACATGAAACCTGAAAACTTAAGAACAATTTGTGTTGAATGCTCATGAAGAGCACGTGGAGGGCACAAACATGGTTCTTCACAGTTTCTGTTTCTGTATATCCTTCACGAACTAGTGGTCTTCTGTGTTCAGAGGGATGTGTAGTCCCTGCTCAAAGTTATATCTTGAATTGCTTTGAATTATATTATCTGCTTTTACTTGTAGATGGTTACCAGTCATCAAGAAAAGAGCAATTTATGTCACTCATGCAATAAATTGGTTTAGCAAGAATGTTGGTTATTAGGCATGCTGATTGTTAGCCGTGTTGATTTTTAAAAACATCATATGCCAGATTTTCACAAGCTCACAGCATCTGACTGCACGAACACATACGGCTCAGGCTTTCTGAAGGAGCTTGACTTCTCACTTCACCTGTAGCTCTGAATATGTCCATTTAATTTGATTCTCAGACAACTGTTTGAAAACCAAAAATGCTTGAACTGAATGTTTCTGGCTAAAAACTGAATAGTGTTTGCAAAGCTTTTGGATGTTATGTTGGTTTTATTGCCTCTGAGTTTGGGCAATTTTCAGCCTGAAACATTTTTTTGCTTGGGTGGAGGGAGAAATATTCATTTTCAGCTGAAAATGTCAGTCAGTCAGTACTCTTCCCCCCAGCACTCTCACTCTGTCCAGCCCTGCCAGGAACCTTGGGGATGTTGTCTTCATGACTCAGAAAAGCACTTTGCAATTATATAAAACAGGTGCTATTATTACATGGTGAGCCATGAATGCATTGCAGTGCTAGTAGCGTCTACTGCGACCCGCTAGACAGTGTAGAGGGCATCTTGACCACTGTTTGTGTGTTGGTCTTTGTGAGTCCTAACAGTCATGTAGTCATGAGGCTGAAACGAAGGGCCCTGGGCAAGGACTGTGGGTATTGAAATATGTCAAATACCAAAGCTTCAGTGCATTAGTTGCTCATCAAAATGAAACAATTATGCCCTTCTTTACCATTTTAGGGTAATCCTGTAGAGGTGATGGCTTATCAGGCTCGGTACTGGCTGCTCCCTCTGGCTCAGCTTTCTGTTAGATGAGACCCAGCTCCTGAGCAGTCTGACAGTGAAGTATTTTAGAGTGGAATCCTTTCTCTGCTCCTTCACTATCCATCCTGGAGAGCTGTCATAACACTATCTCCTTTTGACTCTACAAAGTAGTTTCCTAAAACTTAAGTTAGGCTCACAAGATGAGATTCCTCTCACCAGACCTATGACGACTGTGAGGACTAAATCAGAATTAGTCACTCTGGGCTTTCTTACAGTCAACGGTCCAGGGAGCTCAGATGATCAAATGTAAGTGTCTACTTCAGGGTAAGATATATATCGTGCTAAGCTCCCTCACGAGGTCTCTGTAAAGTATAAAGGGTGTCTGAGGTGATCACATGCAGGTGCCTTCTTTTAGACACTCACACCGGATCCACACAATCCTGCCCAGTCTGCCCAGAGGCACAAGGGCTGATGTGGCTTTTCCTGCAAGAATCACCAGGAAGCTTGTAGGTTGGATGGCAATGTGTGGAGTGTGACCTCTCATTAATTTAATTCACAGCTGTTGTGGTTTATACAGTTGCTCTATCACTCAATTGCCTCACCTGGAGAGAGGAGGTCAGGAAAAGGAAAGGAGATTTGTGGGTTGAAATAGAAATATGTTCAATAAAATAATAGCAGTAATCTAATATTAGTAACAGTTATAATATAAAATACACAGTTATGCTCAGCAAATATTGTGGGGAAGTAGGCCTTAGGGTTAGAACAGTAAACTAAGGTATGTGGCTGAGGTAAATCAGTTCTTCTCCCTGCGCCTTCCTTATCTGTAAAACAGGGGCAATGAGACTGATTTCCTTTGTAAGGCAGTTTGAGATCAGTGAGAGATAAGTAGTATGTGAGAGTGCTTTGCATTATCCTGATTGAAGTTAGGTAGGCAAAGTGTTGGTGATTGATCCCTGAGTCAGCAAAATATGTCCTTTTCAACTCTGCTCCATCCTACACATGTTTTTGGTACCCCTTGATGGTCTTTGCAGACACCAGTGAGAAGTGAGTGCATTGATATGCTGCTGGTATTTTGAAAATATGGCTCCAAAATGACAGAAATACCTGAGGGAAGCTGTCTGCTGGTTATGTGTGTGCACAGTGATAAAACACACGGAGATAAAACAATCACATGACTATATTAGTATATTTGTTGATATTAATTGAAAGCACCTTTAGTGGTAATAGTTTTATGTTCTAATTCTGACAGAACCTCGGCTGTATTCACGACCATGGAGAACTTCATGGCACCGCTGAGCACCATCAGTGAGCTTGCGCTTCAGCAGAGCAAGGCAAAGCTCCTCCACGGCAAGGTGAGCGGGCCCTCCCGGCGCAAGCGAGAGTTCATGCCTGACGAGAAGAAGGACAACATGTACTGGGAGAAGAGGCGCAAGAACAATGAGGCGGCCAAGCGCTCGCGAGAGAAGAGGCGCCTCAATGACTTCGCCATGGAGAGTCAGTTGGCCGCTCTCAGCGAGGAGAATGCCATTCTCCGGACAGAGCTGCTGTCTCTGAAGCTGCGCTTTGGACTCATCAACCCAGACACCGGCGCCTCCCAGGGCCGCTCACTTCAGGACTTTCTGGGAGTTTATTTCACAGGGCACAGAGCAGCCTCCCCACTCCTTGAGGCTGAGCCCTTTGCTGGGGACTCCTGCATCTTCACAGCGAAGAGCTTTGTGCCAGAGGTGCTGGAGCCAGCTGACTTTTCCTGCAAAGCCTTTGCCCCATCCAGAAACATCCTTGGCTGTGACTTGAAGCCAGGTCCCATGGACACACTTGGCCTTCAGCAGCCAAAGAGGCTTGATGCAGCCTTCAGACCCAGAGTTTTCTCTCCATTCCTCAATTACCACTGCCCGGACAAGTATGCTTTCCATTTGCCTTTGTCAGGCAGTGCCTGCTCGTTGTGTCCTTTCCCTTATCCTGCTGAGGTGAGCAAAGAAAGCACCATAACTGTCTCAGATGAAGATGATGAGCAACAAGTGCCCAAAACCTCTCCTCTGCCCCTGTGCAGCCTACCCTGCCCTTCAGAAGATCATTTGAAGGGCCGAAGCAATGCTGCCCTGCCTCACAAGCTCCGGATTAAGACCAAGGCTCTCAGTAGCTTGGAGGAGAGTGGTCTGCACTCCCACTGAAGCAGCAGAGGGATGGCCCACTGTGGAGCCAATGCAAGACCTTCCAAAGACATGAAGGGTTTGGAAGGAGGCGGGAATGGGGGGGGATGTCTTATGCTTCAAAGAAGGAAGTAATTTGCTCTGTTTTGTATAAATAAGGTAGTTTATAGGGCTGGGATACATCACTACAACACAACTGCAGCTGGCCGTGATATTCATCTTGCTGGGTGAGACCTGCCAGACTCAGAGTCACAGTGTGAGTAAATCTGAGTTTCACCTGACTGCTTTGCTCAAAAACCAAGCTAAAATTTGATGTGTGAAGGGACTAGAGGCAGGAAGAGGCTAAGGCAGGGAAGATGGTGCTCACACCATGAAACACAACTACAGGTGCTTGAGGTGGTGACCATTTTAATTACTTTTGCTTCATTGTTGCCTTCATCTTCACAAATGTGCCTGAAGTCTTAATTGCTTGACATGGGAAACTGTTGATGGAAGCAGCTTCAGACCGCCCCCAGCTGTCTGGAGCAAGAAAAAGGGATGGTGACAAAAAGGCAGTGGATTTACTCTGGCATGAAATGAGAGCAGATCCTAGTCCATTTTATTCCTAGTTTATAATGATTTATATTCAGAGAGAATGAACTCTTTTTCTCTTTGGCCAGACACAGTGTGATTCAAAACATAGTTTCACTTATCTTTGAAATTATTATTTTGGAGGACTAAATAGTTGTTTTTACTGAAGTGCAAAGCATATTTTAGTTTTACTTCTTTTTAAATAAGGCATTTTCAGACATGATATTTCTGTATTTGTAAATTGCCTTTGTAAAAGTTCTCTCACCTTTAGCTGAGTTGGCTGAACCATTTCCTTTTTTGGAAATGAATTGCTTATTAAAGCCAACAATGTATACCAAAATTGTTAATTAACTGGGTAAAAAGCATTTAAGCTTTCTTTTACATGATTTTAAAATTATTTTAGTGCCTTTAAATGCAAGTGAACAACTTGTTTAACATCTGGCTGCTTATATTAACTAAGGTAACTTTTAATTGGCCCAATGCTGGACTCGTATTGAGTGTACTCATTGATTATTTCTATTTTCCAAACTGCAAGCTGGAGAGCCTGAACTGGAGATGTAGCACTGAAGGTTTCTCTTGAACTTCAGTGCTTGACATATTCGTAGCATTCAGAAATAATAGAAGAAAATCATACTCATAGCTGTGGCCTTTTGGGTCCCTGCTATCACCGCTGGATGAACTGCAGATTCGGAACAGAATGGGATGGACTTTGCAAGAACAATAAAGGCCACATTGGTCCTTCAGAGATCTCCTGGACATGGAGGCACTGATTTCCATCCCTCTGTGAAGGAAGGAGGAGACTTCGAAGTGTACGGTGCCCATGGTGGGGAGAGAGATGCCCCAACACGTTCTGCGGGTGGGTCCCCTTTACAGATACAACGCTACCAACTCAGTCCTCTACCGAGGCTTCACCTGGGGCTGCAGGAAATGCTCCCTCATAATTGAACTTGTACAATGAGACATGTTGGGAAGCTTCAGCAAAGTGTCACTGTTGGAAACCTGCTCTTAAGGTGGACGAGCTGTTAGGTGATTCTCACGTGGTGCTTCTGCTCTGTCCCTGAGCATTCAAGGAGTGTCTGTGCTAAGACATCATCTCCACAGTCATTTTAGCTATTCCTGGTGAGAGAGATTCCTATCCTTTGCCTCAAGAGACTGCTCTGTTCCAGATCTCCAGACTTTGTTTGATTTTTATCTAATGCATTTGGGTTCAGCCTCTTTCTGCTTTTAAAGCATTTTCCTCCCTTTTACCTATGCAGATGCTGCATATAATGTATATATATTTTGGGGCATCTACTTGGACACTTTTCCTGTTCATCCTGCCTTCCGACTTCATAGCCTTTGGGAAAGCCTGCACTGCGACACGATGATGTAAGTGCAGTATAGCTGAAGAACTTAAACCCAGCCAACCATGGAGCTCAGGGCTCAATGTAAGGCAGGAGAAATCTTGAGCTACATCTGCTCTGAGCTGAAATCCAGCTGAGCCTCAGTGAGCTCATGAGGGTCTCTGAAGCCAACTTCATGCTGTTCCTCAGCCACATCACTGTACAAGCCAAAGATAATTCTCAGAAATATATTCCAGGTATATCTGTAACTTCTCAGTTCTCCTTTCATGTTTTGTCTTTTTTTTTCCCTAAGGAAAGGAGGCTAATGCAGGTCTGATGTTTCTGTGTCTATCTGTCAGCCCTAAAGAGTTTTTGACATGTTGGACAAATACAGCCCAATCTGATGGAAGAAGACAGGTCTCAAAGAGAATAAACGACTTCAAATTGTTCTCCTCTGCCCCAACTATACATTTTCATCTACAATGTCCCTACTGATAAAAAAACTGCATTGTCAGCTGAGCCCCACTGGAAACCAGAGATGACAGTGGGACCTCAGCTTCCCAGCTCAGATCCCTTGGAGTCTCTGCTTTGCCAGTTCTGCTGCTCACAGATTACCCTGTTTCTTTTCATGTTTCACTGTTCTCACTAAAAATTCAGGCTCTGGAGATTAAGGACAATTGTCAAGAGTATTTTTCTAGAAATAATTTTATAGCTAATAAAGCAATGCACCAATAATAAGACCATGTAAAAGAACAAACCATGCTACCATGTTACATGGCATGTAACTATCCCTCAAATCGGTTTGGAAAAGAGGGCCCTTAATGTCAGCTGTACATGAGTCATCTGAACCTTGGTGGTCTATCAGCATGGTGTGCCTAATAAAACTCTGTTTCCAGAAGCTGTGAAAGGTATATGCGCCCATCTGTTGGGGCTGTATCTGCACTGAACTTCCCTTCTTGGGAACAGCCAGCTTGATAAATATATCCCGTGGAGATAAGTCCTGCTTGGCAGAAGCACAGGTAGCTGCAGTGAAGGGTACTTTCCTGATTCCTCTGTCCATAAATGTGTTTTCCCCCTGTCTGTCTGCATGCTCACAGTAGGACACCTGGTTTTCCACCATGGAGCTCCCGCAGGTACTGTACCTCCAGCATGCTGGCAGAAGGACTGGTGTAGGGCTCACACAGCTCACCACAATTCCAGTGATATCCACAAGGTTCAACCCCCCTGACTGCCCGTGTCTGGCACTTTTGTGCCGAGCTCAGTGCAGAGAAACGGGCAAACCTTCATGTTTGCGGCTGTCAAGGCTGAAGGCCCCAGGCTGCAGCACAAGGAGGGCAGCTCTACTGTACTTGCTGGCATAAAGGGAAACCAGAGTGCTGCAACGGCTCTTCAGGTGTGAAACTTGACACAGCAATGCTTTCAGATGAAAAGAAACCACAAGTGGCTCTATTTCCTGTCCTATTCCTCCTGTCCTCTCTTGCCCTCGGAACAGGTAGGGACAGCCCATAGAGTGGGTTTGGTGCTTGCAGGGAGGGAGGTTGACCCCAAGATCTACTTTCCCTCCCAGCCCTGCTGCTGGGGCCTGGGTTGAGATGACCCTGAGAGGCCCAAAGGTGACTTTCTGGGGTGAGCAGGCATGGTTCGTCTGAAGAAATGAGTAACGCTTCCTGTTTGTTTTGTGGCTGCTGCCGCACAGAGAGCCAAACCTGGAGCTGGGGCTCATGGCAGTGTAAGCTGCCAGGCCCCCATGGACAGAGCAGGAGAATGCAACAGCAGTAGGAGAGCATGAAAAGGTGTGAAGTAAACCAGTTCTGGCCTCCTCATACCTTACAACCCCTTGGCCGCTCTTTCTCTTTCTCAGGGTTTTGCTTTTCCTCCTCTCTGGGGCAGCTTGCCTGAAGGGGATGGATCCAGGGAGGGTGTTTCCCTTCACTCCACAGTTGTATTTCTCCTTTTCAGCCTTGTCCTAGAGAGTTTCCTACCAGTTCTTGGGGAAGATCCAGCCATCTCTATAGATTGTCCCATCCCCAAGTTTCACATTTAACAACATCTTCAAATAAGAGCCATTATTGTACTAATTGTTTCAGATTATGAGACCTGCGAGGATTGCCTGGAAGGGAGCTTAACTATTCCTGCTCCTGCTCAGTCTCAGAAGTTAATCCATGAACCAGTCTTTGCTTCAAAGTGCCTTCAGGTAGTTTTCCAGCTGGTTAATTACCAGGGTGAGTGTCATATAATAAAAAAAACCATGCGTGTGCCCTAAGAGGGGGAGGTGAGGAAGATATTTCTTGCCTGTATCTCTCTGGAAACTCATTCTGGTGATTTTTTTATCTGTTTACTAGAACGGAAAAGTCAAAAGCAACAGCCTAATTCAGTACCAACTGGTGTTTAAGATTAGACTGTTGATTCAACCCATGGTTAAACATGTAAATCAATGGCGCAAATTTGATATCATAATTATTTACACTGCAAATACAGGCTTGTGCTTATCAGTGCCACTTGGTGATGCTTATTCTTAGGGCAGAGGTGAAATTTAGAAATTACATGGAGCAGGATATTTAAAGGCAGAAGCTGTTACATCCTGCTCTGCACTGCACGCTTCCACCATTTTGCAGCTCCCTCAGGCAGAGATGTTTTATTTATAAAATAAAAAATGTCATTGAGGGGAAAACAACTGCCTGCTTGGCCGCTCACTCCACGCTTCCATGCACGAGGGTTTTTGCATCATTGCTGAGTCTCAGGTGCAGACCAGCAGCTTTTTGGGGTAGGAATAGGGCTGGGATGCAGAGCTTCTCCTCTGGCACCTACATCCATGACTGAGCCTGAGAGCATCACCCTTGCACATGGAGACCCCGATCCCCCCAGAGCCAAGCCGAGCCCTGTCTAGCTCCTCTTTGCTGGGCTTGGGAGCATCACCGTGGTCCCACCATGGACCTCCTCCAGTGAGCAAGTCCCAGTGCATGTGGCCAGCCCAGACTCCCCTGAAGCACAGCCGCCAAAAACACTTTCATTCAAAAGCACAACCACCAGAGGAAGAAATGGTGTATGAATACCAGCCTTTTGTTTTGCACAGGAGCTGGTGGCTTCAACACTTCCCCGGGAAATGAGAGACCTCGCTTGGATTCCCTT